GCCCTGGGGACTGAGCCTGGGGGTGCCCTACCACGGAGCTGCAGCCCTGGGGACTGAGCCCAGGTGCCCTACCACAGAGCTGCAGCCCTGGGGACTGAGCCTGGGTGCCCTACCACGGAGCTGCAGCCCTGGGGACTGAGCCTGGGGGTGCCCTACCACGGAGCTGCAGCCCTGGGGACTGAGCCTGGGTGCCCTACCACGGAGCTGCAGCCCTGGGGACTGAGCCTGGGTGCCCTACCACGGAGCTGCAGCCCAGCCCTGTTTATTTACTTTTTTATTTTGAGGCAGGTTCTCACTAAGTTGCCAGGTTTGGCCTTGAATGTGATCCTCCTACAACAGCCTCCCAAGTCTCTGGGATGACAGTGACACTGTGACACACTTTGAATATAAAGGTACCAGTAGATAAAAAGCAAAAGGTTGGAACAACAACAACAAGAAAGATCCATACCTTGCAAACTGAAGAACGCTGGTGTGGAGGGCAGGGCAGCTCAGTGGAGAGGACCTAGCAAGCCCCAGGCCCTGGCTCTACCCCGTAGCCCCCCCCCAACACACAGAGTAAACAGAAGGCCAACATCGCTGTACTTTACCAGAAAAAGTGGAAAGTAAGGGAAGAATCACTCAGAAGAGGCTAAGAGGGTATTTCTTTACGACAGAAGATAGATTTCCCGTGATCACAGAAGAGAAGGCCACCTCACTGCATCCGAGCCAGCGGCCACAGGGTCAAGAGAGACACGGAAGTCTCCAAATGTGGCTGGCAACTCTAAGGTCCCCTCGGCATCTCAGGAAGAAGGAGGGGACACCATCAGGTCCTCAGAGGAGTGCCAGTACCTTCAGAGTACCCAGGGGCCAGAGAGCGGCAGTGCCGTGTCCACTCCCCACCCGCCCGGCCGGCCCTTGTCCTCTCGCCCCCGGCCGGCAGGAAGCAGAGGCGAGCCTCCTCCCAGGAGGCCAGGCCGAGGGGCTAGCTTGGTCCCCTCCTGACAGCATGTGGCTGCCAGGTTCACCACCCCCATCACCTGCACCCACGCTGCATACCACACCAGAGACAGGGTCCACTTTGTGCCTCAGCAGGACAGGAAGGAGGAAGGAAAGAAGGGACAGGGACCAAAATGCCCTGGGATGGCATGGAGGCCCAGCAGACCCTCCGGAATGGGGGCTTGTCCCCCTCCTTTGCCCCAAGGGGCCTGGGCCACCTCCGCCCCTCTCTTCTCCCCCATGGTGGCTGGGAAGGACTTGGCCCCCTGCGGGGTGGTGAATAGGGCTGCAGCAGTAGGGATAGTGAGCATCCTGGACAGCCCAGGCCTGGGCAGCCCTGCAGACAGTCCCTCACCTACTACCCAGAGCCAGCCAGGTGCAGCTGCTCAGACCTGCCAGGCTGCTGTGGGATCAAGTGAGGCTACACATAAAGGTGGTACCCAGAGGCACCCAAGGGTATCTTCCTGTCTGTCCACAGCCAGCAGGGGACTGGGGGGACAGGCAGCAGAAGACCTGGGCAGCCCAGCACCCAGAGAGGCGCCCAACATCCAGGCGGGAGCCCCAACACCCAACACCCAGGCAGGAGCCCCAACACCCAACACCCAGGCAGGAGCCCCAA